GGAGTGGTAGGAGGAGTTAGTCTGTTGTGCCAAGTTAGTACTAAGAGTCCTCAGATAGTTGTATACTATAAGTTGTGGTATAATGCCAAAATGCAGCAAAATATTCCAGCTACAAGTTACAAGTTTGGTCATTTTGAAGCTTAACCTTTTGGTTTGCTATAATGTTAAAACCTCTAAGTAGGTGTTAGTTTCCCTTGAGTGTATTATTAGTGTTGATTTTCCCTGTAAAAAAAAACCAAAACATTATCGTTCCTGCCTGCCTTTCATTATAGACTAGACTTTATTGTTGTCTCTCTTGCTCCTTGGGTTACTTGGTTTATGCTAGCCACGGAAAGCTATCAATAACGGTTTCATGCTTATACCAAAGAATTAAATCTGATCCTTAATATCTGGTATTTTGCCAGTAAGTCTACTGATAAGGGATTATTGGAAGCCAGTCACACAATTTGAAGATAAACTCTAATCTGTCCTTAGGCCAAGGACTCATTGCAAAACTTTTTTGCAAGTGTGAATGCTTAGATTTGATCCCTGAACAGTAAATTTTAGACTGGTTTAGAATTACTTGTAGCTTATTTTAAAGCAAAGGAAAAACAACTGAGCATGAGTTGCTGTCTTTAGAACAGTTTGTGAAAATACGGTATAAAGTTTTCATTTTCTTATTTTAAATATTATTGTACAGAGCTATTATTAATGCCTTTTTTTTTGAAAACCTTAAAAATTGCCCCAAATATTGACATTAAGTGCATCAAACAACAAAGTGTCTTTGGTATATTAAACTTTTGCTCTTCATGCATCTGTCATTTCATTTTCTTTTTAAATATAAAATTTTTGCCTTTGTTACAACTAAATTAAAATTCTTGAGTGTTAACATGTTGTATATAAACGAAAGAATATGCTTTGTTGGAGGAAAATTTCCTTTCTGGAATGTGGTTGTAGTCATCCTTTTTTGGTTCTTAAAGTTTTTTTTAAAACAGGATGCAACTTAAAATTTCCTTTGCATCAAGGTGTATGCAAAACATTGATGCAGTGCATCACAAAATGAAAGTTTGTATTTAATGAGGAGATGCTTTACACTGTACTTTTTGGTGTTTTTTTGGAAAAGTTACATTTAGATCTATTCTGAAGCTGTTCATTTTTAACAAATAAAATGTTACAGGTCTCACATGATTTATTCTTAGCTATAAAGATTGAGTTGTGGTTTTTAGATTGTTCTATGTTACAAAGAACTTTGTGGTAATTATATTTATAATTTTTAGAGTTTGCAAAACTATGTACCAACTAAGTTGGTAAATCAGTCTAGATTCATATTGACATCCTTGCAGCTGCCTTTTGACCATTTTATTCATAACTCCAACAGAAGTAGCCAGGAGGAGTTAACAGAGAGAATCAGATTTACTTAGAATGCAGAATATTAGGCTGGATGAGCCTTTAGAGATCATCTAGTTCAACCCCTCTTTTTACATCTTAAAGTGAGACCTAGCTTTTCAAGACTTGTGTGTGGCAGAGTCACTTTCTGAGCTCAGATCTTTTAATTCTCAGTTCATAATAAACTGTTCCTGTGAGTTGAACACCCACAGAAAGTAGTGGAATAGTGTGTGGCTTGTTAGATATCTAAGAAGTGGTAATAGCCATGCTTCAGCATTTATAGTGTGGCAAGTAAATCTACTCTGCCAGTGCTGATTATGAGGCTTCATTATGAGACTTCATTACTTTGGTATTCAAGTTATGTAGACCTATTAGAAAAGGCCAGTGTTCCTAATCAGACATTATATATATGTGTATTTTTTTCTAATAGGCATAAACTTCACAATTTTAATTTTAAACAAATCATAAAATACTTCTAAGTATGAGGAAACTTACAGGCTTCATTGCCCAATTGTTATTTTTTGTGAGAATAGATATGTATGTCATATTTTCCTGTAGATAGCTTTATAATTCACACAACTTACACAGTGTTGGGGTAATTTTTTTCAGATTTCTATTTACTATAAGGAGATGAGAGAAAAAATAGCTGACTTTACAGAGAATGAATATACACTCTGAATGCAGGCAATATTAGGGCAGAAAATGATTTTTTTTTTTTTTTTTTTTTTTGCTGAGAAAGATTCACCCTAAGCTAACATCCGTTGCCAATCTTCCTCTTTTGCTTGAGGAATATTCGCCCTAAACTAACATCTGTGCCAGTCTTCCTCTATTTTGTATGTGGGTCCCCGCCATAGCATGGCTGCCAACGAGTAGTGTAGGTCCGCGCTCAGGAGCTGAACCCCGGTGGCCAAAGTGGAGCACACCAAATTTAACCACGAGGCCATGGGTCCAGCCCGATTTTTTCATTTCTGATCAGTATACCTTTGAACTTGCATCAGAATTATATGATTGTTTTTTGCCACTGTGAAAAAAAATGAAGCATGTGATTTAAGCTTCCCTTTCAAGAGAGTTCTTTTTGCGTAGATCATTTTGGAGTTAGTCCTTTTTATAAAATGACACCAATAAACCCCAAGCATTTACAACACCAATTCAGTACTGTTGTGGACCGTTAACAGAGATTTAAAGATTTGTTTATAAATCGTTGACTTCTGATGTCTCTCTTTCCCCTGCCATTACAGTTTACTTTCTATCTGAAACCTATTCAACAAAAAGCTTGATAAAACTAGGAAATGTGATAACCATTCTGGAACTGAATTCCTTGTTCTAAGTGTATTTAGATGAGGTTTACTGATGTTTAAAGATGAATAGGAAACTATTTCCCTAGTGTGTATGTGTTTAATTTCTACTTCCATTTCCATTTTCCTCTAATAAAAGAAAATCACATTGTCTAAATTTTAAAGTTTTAAAAAGTCAATTATTAGTGCTTCTTATTAAAGAAGTTAGAAAAGGGAAGGATCAGACATTTATTGAATATATTCAACAAGTCAGTTTCTGTGCTTTACATTTGAAGAGAATGGGATTGGCCAAGATTTTAATCTTAACTGCTTTGAGTTTATAGAAGTGGAGATTTAAGGAGTGACCATAATATATTTCTGGTGAGTAGAAGGGGGCAGGGGAGGACTTTATTTCTGCGTGATGTAGTGAGATGCAGAGATGGAGAGAGCTATTGAGATTTCAGTGCAACTTTTGCCCCTAGTATTCAATGAGTTAACTCTCAGCTTGTAAAATAAACAGGAAGAAGCAGGGAAGTTGTCTATATCAATTCTTAACAGTCGATAACTCCCACTGCCTGTTTTTTTAGCTGCTTCCAGTCAACAGAGCAGTAGTGGAATAAGTTATAGATCCCTGTAGCCCTTTTGCTCACAGCCTTTTTGCAACTGTTTATCATCATTTCTTTTATTCATCTCTAGGCTCTGGTGAACTCACAATGACTCCATTTCCTATATCATTCTCACAAGATGATCTTATCACTTGCTTTATGGAGAAGATTGAGGGAGTAGGATGAGAATTCTCTCATTCTACCTTTACTTTTTAGATGAAACCTCAAATCCTTAGAAGTCTCAGAATTAGCTCTATTCTGAGCTATTTTTTCTTTCAGCCTTTTCTTTACCTAAGAGTTGTTTTCATATAATGGTATATATAGCATCTTCATTTTCCCCCGTATCCATGGGCCTTTCTTTTGGCCTTCAGATATCTACAGACTTATGTACCCTGTTCTCAAAAATTGTTATTCTTTTTTCTGTCCTCCCAGCCTTCTCTCCTGTTAGTATGATAACCGATTGTCTGTCTCTGCTGCTTTCCACTCATCCTTTACTATTTTTTAACTCCTGTTAATATACTCAGCCCTGGGATATGGACGGTAATTATAGAGTTTAACATATTAAGGACCTTAAAATCTAGTTGAGTAGACAAAGTAACATCAATCTAGAAACTTGGTCAGAATTTAGAGACCAGGATTGGCATGGTATGTTGTAATTATGATGAGATGTACAGATAGATAGGAAGAATGAGGCCATATTACAAAGAACTTGTCAGAAGAATTTAGTGTAAATGTGGAAGGTAATAGGTAATCAAATATAGATGACATAATGGTGCATTTTAGAAAGATCTGGCAACTATTTCTATAGCATTGTAGAGTTAATATGGAATATATGATTATGCTGTTAGTCATTGTAGTTGACATATCTCTAAAAGATATAAAATGAGGCCCTGCTCTTAAATAGCTTAAAATCTTTCTAAGAATAATAAAATTTTAGGAGACCAGAGTAAAGGAAACCAATTCATGCATTGGATGAATGTTATTTGCCAAGGATGACAAATACATCACTTGCCATTGCTGTGACCCATGCTCATATAACAGACATTGATAATTGATCCTGGAACTTGTTGCTGAAGAAACTAGAATGTGGTATTAAGAATTCATAGAACAACTCTCTGAGCAGCTGTTACTAACAAGCTTTGGCACTGAGATTAAAATTTTTTATAATCTCTTTCGTTTAGGAGTTGGGGGAAGTGCTAGTCAAGGTTTCATTGAAGAGCTAGGTGGGATCAGCTGGGGTGATAGGTAGGATCTCTCCAACCTTATTTTCTCTTGCTGTCTGACGAACTTTTTGGCCTGTAGTCTTAATGTTCTCCACATGTACCAGTATAAATCATACCTGCTGTGTTCATGCTGATCCTCCTCCCAATCTGGAGTATTGCTTTCACCTTCCAGCCAATTCCACTTCATAATCCTTCAGATTTTATTCAAAACCTCATTCATCCCTGATATTGATTCCTTTTTCTGAACTGTGATAATCCCCACCTCCCCTTTGCTGTCGTCTTATTCTCTAATTGGTGTATTTGTTTGGATTCCATAATTAGATTATAATCTCCTAGGGAAAGGGTTGTATCTGACAGCCTCTTCTGTTTCTCACAGTAAATACTAGTTGGTTGATTGTAGGAGAAATTTACATCATGTAGCAGGAATGGCTTAAATGTGTAACAAAAATATGCTGAAGACTGGTTGCAATATGTGAGGTATAATTGGTTTAAAATGTGATATTTTCTACTTTTTCAGTAATGGTTTCATTTTTTACCATTTCTTTGGTCTACCCTTAATTCCCACATTTAGATTATGGTCAGATCATTTTCCTCAATTTTGGTAGCAGACCAAAATTTTAGACTTTAATGCCGTTCATCCTGCTTTGCTCAACAATAAAATCTTGCCTAAAGGACGAGTACTATTTAATAAAGGGAGGGAGGGCCTAAAATATTCATATAACCCTTTCAATGAGAATTATGGAGTTTGGGAGCCAGGTTAGCACTTACATTTCCCTCAGGCAATAATAGTTAATAAATCCACAACTCTCCATTTAGATCATTTGGTTTATGGAATGACAGAAGTTGGTAAATGTTTTAGGTCGTATCCCAGGGTCCCTTCCTCTCGTTGCCCAAGTTTCCGGCAGCAACCGTGTTAAGGGGCCTTAATTTAATGCTTAATCGAATCCTCCAGTACTGAGGGAGAAAAGCAGAGAAGTTTTGGTGAGGAGCGTTATCTGAAAGATATTTTTGTAGAGGCGTTTGAGAAATGCTGGTCACCTGGAGTAGGGGGCTGCACCATATTTGTAAGTTCCGTTTTAATTTCCCTTGAAAATCACGATGTGGGCGGAGGCAAGCGCCTGGATGTGTGGAGGGGCACCGCAGCCCTCCCCATCAAGGGAACCGTCGTGGTCTGGATGCCCCTTTCCCCGCCCACCCATCAGTTCTGGCCGCGCATGCGCTGAGCCAGCGGGCCGGAGAGTTGTCGGCTGGGAAATGGCGGCCGCGGGCTTGGTCGCTGTGACCACGGCTGCAGAGTACTCTGGCCCAGTAGCGTCGGGAGGTAACCTCTCCGGTGTTAACTGCGGCCCAAGCTCCGGGGCAGGCGCTGGTCCTGGCCCGGGCTCATGGAGTCGCTCCCTCGATCGAGCGCTGGAGGAGGCGGCGGTAACCGGGGTGCTGAGCCTGAGCGGCCGGAAACTGAGGGAGTTTCCCCGGGGAGCGGCCAACCACGACCTGACGGACACCACTCGGGCGGGTGAGCGGGGCGGGGGGCATCCCTGCCGACGGGAGGCCCGGGGCGGGGCGGGAGGCCGCCCCAGCCGGTGGGGGGACTGGGAGTATTTAGAGCAACTGGTCCCACAGCTTCTGGTCGGGGCTCGGGTAAGGGGGAGAAGCCGACTGCCCCAACCCGCCCAGCCCCCCGGGCCTGCGGGCCAGACCCCAGACCCAGACCCCGGGCCTGGCGAGGCGGCGGACAGCGGCGTCTCTCGGGAAGAGGACCGTAGGGGGTTGATGGGTGGTGGTGTGCTCGCCTAGAAAATTAACTTCTGCCGCTGCCGAGGTAGTGCCTTGCCCCGCCCCGGTGCCTGCAGGCCCTTTCGGATTTGGGATGCCAAGTTGACTTGGCTAAGATTTGGGCTTGTAGCGCGCTCTTCTTAATGGATCAGAGTAGCATTGGTCGCCGCGTTGTCAGGAAAGCATCGATCTCGGCGCTGGCGTTTTTCCGAAAGAGTTGTTTTTAGTGTGAACCCAATCGCTGTAACTTTTCCTTCTCCACTTTCATGTAGTTGACTTACCAAATGTACTTGTAAAAATAACTAGAGCCCACCTTCAGACTCCCATTGCTTTCCTCTCTCCTCATGCCCCTCAAAAAAAGTTGAAGGAAGAAAACCATCTGAAAAAGATACATAGATTGCCTACCATATCTGTATTTAATGCTTTTTAAAAACAAACATTACTTTGCTTTATACATGTTTTTAAACACAGGAAAGATAATAAAGAATTAGGTATTATTTGGTTTTCTTAGTTGTAGAGAACAGTGTCTGGTGACTGAAGTGTTCAACATAATATGTTTTTCTTGTGTTTAAAATATAGCTTCCTCAGGGAGTAGATTAAAAACTGAGGCTATTCATGTTTTACACAAACACAAAGAAGGAAGAAAGTCCCTTATGCGGGTTTGTACAGTATGATGTGGTTAAATATTTTATTTTCATATAGTGTTTTTGCAACCAAAGAATGTACTTTGTGTCTTATATTTATTCCATTTTATTTACTTTATCTTAAAATCTTTGATAACACCTTTCCTATGTTTGTGCACTCATTAAAGACTGATGAGTATTACATATGATTCACTCATGTTAGAAAAATAAACAGAACTGTTAAACCAGTTCAAGAAACTATTCTTTCCAAAGAAACTTTTGCTCTAGTGTAAAATAGGAGAAATTAAATGCCTACTTATTTAATCTCTTTTTGGACATAGTTGTACTGAATATAGTTTGTATTTTTTAGTGAATGATAAAATTAAACTTTCTTGCTAAGGTAAATTTGAATAGCCACTTGCCTTTTGCATATGTTCTCATAGATGACATCTAAAATTGTCATCATATCCCAAATTTCCTGCTTCTCTTATGGCATATGGTTGTTCAGGAGTTGGATGGCATAGTGATTCTATATCAGTGTGAGTCATTTCAGTATTACTATATTAAGCCTGAAGCTAAAGAATAGTTGATTACAAGAGTTTAACTAGCTCCTTATCATACCTGCTTTTAAATAGTTCTAGGACCAACATGTTTTGCCTTTAAGAAATATTTTATTAACTAACAAAGAAAACCCAAGGGCATTTGTGAAGAATAAGTAATCCCAGTGAATTTTTCTCTTACTGTGCTCTGAATTTTTAATTTGTTATTATCTATGCTTATTTTATTACTTTCATAGTTTCTTTATAAACCAAATTTTTTGTTGGTTGACATGTTATCTGGTCAAAAAGTGTAAAAAAGAAAAAAGATTACAAGGTATTTCATAGCTTACTAGACTAGATTCATTTCTAACATTTTAGAAATATTACTTATTTAGTATGAGAAATCTTTGGCAGACCTTGGTAACTAAGAAATCTTTGGCAGACCTTGGTAAATACAAAAACACTGAATTATTCTAAACAGATAATTTGATACAGATAACATCATTTATTGAGTATTCACTGTTTCCTATTCATTGTTAGGTGTTTTAAAGTACCTTGTTGCCTTGTTAAATTGCCTTGTTAAATGCTCACAACAACTAATGGATTAAATATTATCCCACTTTACATATGAGGAATCACTCAGAATTTACAGTTGAGGAATCACTGAGAAAGACGTATAACTAGTATTAGTGGTAGACTTTCAGCTCAGGTCCATCTACCTCTTTTCTCTCCACTATATCACACAGCCTCCCTATGTACAGATACATGTTACTGTTCCTGTTTACGGATAGTACAGCCAAGGTTTGGAGGGATTAATTTGCACAAAGACCTGTAGTTAAAGGCCGGGAAAGGTGGTATTAGCCAGGATTTGAGCCTAGTTTGAGGTAACTCCAAAACCGTAGTCTACCTGTTACACCAGGTACTTTGATGAATTCAGACCCAACTTATATTAGCTAAAATGTTTTGTTTAGATCCTATAGAAAATTTAAAGCCAAGAAAATTATTTGAATGCTATGTATATCAAAATTGCCACACAGTCTGTTCTTTGATAATGTATGGAATGTATCTAGTAGAGCTGCTGTCCTTCAAGAGTTTACATTCTAAGAAACAGCATATATTATCCATACCACTTATAATTTGACATGATTAGAATTCATTAGGAACATTTTCTTGAAGTTTTTCCCTCCTGTTTGTTTAAAAAGGTAAAGGGAAATATTTGTTTGGGAATGGGTGACTTGATCCAGTAGACAAGGAAAATCTTAGAAGAAATCACAGAAGACCTCTTGGGGCAGAAAGGATGTAGCTTGGATTTGGGTAAGCAGAAGTGAGAAGGAAAGCCACTCCAGGCGGTGGCTGTATGCAAATGGTGGCTATATGTATCCCCTCCAGGTGGATAGTATACACAAAGTCTTAGAGTATAGGGCACGTCATTAATTTTGCCAGTCATACATTCACCTTTCATCTGATAACAATACTTCAGTTTTCCTAGGGAGTCACCCTTTTCAGTTACATGGATCCCACCCCAACACAAGGGTGTGCACATGACTCAGGCCTAACCAATCAGTGTAGTCCATCCCTCTGGCCACAGTGATTGTCAGAGATGGGCACATTTTCCAGTCAGCAAATATGAGTGTTAATTCTGAATTTTTTTTTTTTTTTTTGTGAGGAAGATCAGCCCTGAGCTAACATCCATGCTAATCCTCCTCTTTTTGCTGAGGAAGACCGGCTCTGAGCTAACATCTAATGCCAATCCTCCTCCTTTTTTTTCCCCCAAAGCCCCAGTAGATAGTTGTATGTCATAGTTGCACATCCTTCTTGTTGCTGTATGTGGGACGCGGCCTCAGCATGGCCAGAGAAGCGGTGTGTTGGTGCACGCCCGGGATCCGAACCGGGCTGCCAGTAGTGGAGTGCACGCACTTAACTGGTAAGCCACGGGGCCGGCCCTAATTCTGAATTTTTTATTGGAACTATTGAGGAAGAGGCATGCTTTGAACTCAGGGGTTGCTGAGAGAATAAAGTGTGAGCCTGGAGCTTGCCAATAAGTGGAAAGCAGAGCCAAAAGATGGACAGAATTCTGATGTTAGTGCTATTTTTGGACTTTCAAACTATGAAAACTAATAGAGTCCCTTTTCTGCTTAATTTGAGTAGAATTTTTTTGATACAAAATAAGAGTCCTGACTAATATAGTGAGACTGCTTTTTTTTTAATTTAAAAAAAAATTTTTTTTTAATTTAATTTAATTTTTTCCCCCAAAGCCCCAGTAGATAGTTGTATGTCATAGATGCACATCCCTCTAGTTGCTGTATGTGGGATGCAGCCTCAGCATGGCCGGAGAAGCGGTGTGTCTGTGCGCGCCCGGGATCTGAACCCAGGCTGCCAGCAGCAGAGCATGCGCACTTAACCGCTAAGCCACAGGGCCGGCCCAGAGACTGCTCTTGATAATGTTGTGGTGAGGCCAGTTTGGTCAGAATAACTGATTGGATTAGAGAATATAAGAGCTACTTTTCACATGTGAGGAAGCTAGGTTGATGATAGGTTCAGAGACAGGGAGACTAATCAACATTCATTCATTCAACAAACATTTATTGACTAAGGAATTTTGACAGATGTAGATATACACAAAGGACCAAGACACTCCCTGCCTTCGAAGAACTCAAGGGATCTAGTGGAGGAATAAATAAATAGATGTAAAGATTATTTGAATTGTCTAATAATAGCAGAACTTTTATGTGTTAAGGCATTATGCTAGAACTTTTATGTGTTAAGGCATTATGCTAGGTAATATAGGGGAAACAAAAATAAGAAGAGGCTTTACCCTCTAAGCATTAAAAAATCTAGTAATCTGGATGGGTGGCTGTGATAATAATCCAAATCTATGAGGGAATGAAAAATATCCTATTGGAAAATGAAAATGTACAAATGCTGATTGAACTTAAAAAAGGGAGGACAGAATGCATCAAAGATGACTGAGCTGTTATAACACCTGGAGGACTAGGAAGATGGTAATGCTACTGATAATAATATTAGCTAACATTTATTGACCTGTTGGCATATTCCAGGTGTTATGCTAAGCTGTATATGTAAAACATGTACGTATGACAACCATGTGAGTTTTAAGTACTATTTCTGACCCCATTTACACATGAAAAAATGGAGACTCGAGATTAATTTGGTCAAGGTTACACAGCTAATAAGTGACAGAACTGGGATTCAAATTCAGATACATCTGATCCTAAGACTTGTGATTTTGATCACTAAGCTATACTGACAAAGAAGTTTGGTACACATGATTTCTTTGGTTTGCCCAATACCTTTAAGGGACCGGTAACGCATCTAGTTAATCCTGTGCAGCAAATGGAAATGTAAATCTGGAGCTTTAAGAGTGAAGTTAGCGGGGGCTGGTCCCGTAGCGTAGTGGTTAAGTGCGCGTGCTCCACTGCTGGCGGCCTGGGTTCGGATCCCGGGCACGCACCGACGCACCACTTGTCACGCCATGCTGTGGTGGTGTCCCATATAAAGTGAAGGAAGATGAGCACGGATGTTAGCCCAGGGCCAGCCTTCCTCAGCAAAAAGAGGAG